ACCACAGAGTAGCTAGGAGTTTGGATTTTCTAGGAGCGGCGTTAAAAGTAGTGGCGGGAACGCCAGATGCAGAGGATTTCGAAAAAATTAAATTTAATGAATTCCAGTTAATAAATGCAAACAATAGGCAGATAAACATCAATAGTAAAGTACAAGACCAAATTAATAATATTACTTCCACCGTCAACCAACTTCTGAGGTCAGCCAAGGGAACCCAAGTTGACACGGGGCATCTTTATGAGATGTTATTATCCCGAAATAGAATGATTAGTATGGAGCTGCAAAACTTATTGCTAGCGATTGCTTAGCTAAGGCCAACATTGTGAGCCCTAGTATACTAGATCATGCAGACCTAGAAGATATATGGATAGAAGAGCCCACAGATACCCCCATCAAAGACTATTGTCCGTTGCTTCCGTTAAAATATTACAGTCCGATAACCTTTTGTATTTTGTCATCAAATTTCCAATAATCAAATCATCCTGTATTAAAATCACTGTTTTTCCCGTGTCCCATCATGACACGATGCTCAGGCTGGAGGACAAAATAATAGCTGATTGCAATGGAGCAATTCATACGGTCAACAATTGCTCCACAACATCTGGAGCCACATTTTGCCAGCTGGCGGTAAGAAGGTCGTGCGCACAAGAGCTCCACGCTGGAGGCATAGCGCACTGTGACATCCAGCACAGCGATCTACATCCAATTACTCGCGTAGATGAAGGCATCATAATTGTAAACGATCGTCCGGCACGTGTGAGTGTAGATAATGGCACTTACATCCACATACGAGGCACGCATCTCATTACCTTTATTGAGAGTGCCGTGGTCAATGAAACCCGATATGTCAATAATGACAGGGCCCAGAAGAGGGTCCCAGGAGTAGCCAGCTCGCCCTCCCTGAATATCACTATGGAGCACAACATCCTCAGTCTTCCATACCTTCACCGCTTGAGTGAACGTAATCTGGAACACATAAAGAGAGTCGGGGAGAATATCAACGACTATCATTCACATCAGATAGTACTGGTGGCAGCAGCAATATGTTGCGCGTTGATCTGCGTCGGTTTCACCTATCGGCGAGTCATCCAGGCCAGGAGAACTACGGCCCAAATAGCAGATATGATCGCCCAAATAGGGTCGGCCGAGGACGGCCTTAATTCTGAGGGGGGAGTAGTTAACTAAGTAAGTTAACCGGGCGACGGCAATGACCGATCGTCCGAAAGCTCGCTCCGGCCAAATTGCTGACACAGCGTCTGGCCGGAAGCCCGTGCATAGCCGGCAAGCACTACCCATTGGAGTGGCCGCTATGAGTCCCTTTTTATGTTAGCTTTAAGTTTAGTTCTCATTTGATTTGAAAGAATAAAGAGCTAACGCTCACGAATTGAAACTCCGGCCATCGCCGTATTTGATTTATTGAAATTACACCCAGTCTGAGTCTCTAGGCCAGCGGGCTAAAAGAGGGCAGTTACCCTCTCAACCTAATCGTCATATATTTACTGTTGATGACGCAGGCCAACCGGCCAACTACAACACACACAGCGGCTGATATTACCAGCTACAACTACGGTCAACCGACCTCCTGCTACAGACGTTCTGCCAGCCAGCTTCACCCCCTCTACAGACGGACGGCCAGCCGGCACACGGATTAATTAATTATTTAATTTGTATATTAGCTGAATATTTATGGATTTGCTTATGTGAGGAAGGTATTTTCGACCATTAAAATGGTATTTTCTATTATAGTGACAGTATAAGAATAGACTTTGGGGCGTTTTTTCAATGTCATCTAAACGTGTGTTACTTCCTAACATTGAATGGGCGCCACACTATCACTACTGCACACAGTTACCTTCTCGCCCTTGAGCGTGGGGACTGCCTCCCGCAGATTGGTAAAGCTCTCCTTGATGTGGTCCCGCCGCCTCCGCTCCAAGGCATTGTGATGCGCCCGCTTCTCGGCCTTCAAACAAACAGAAGAAATGTAAACAAGGGGAAATCCCTTCGTCAGTACAGCTGAGGCCAGACTAATAGAAATTCTTGGTGAGGTTGTTAAGAACTTTAGATATATTTTAACAATTGAAAAAACATAACATTCTTTGCATGGAAACTCTGTTCAATATTTTTAAACGTGTATTAAGAATAAATTACATATAACTTGGGCAACACAAATCCTTCTAACGATTAACCATTGAATAATATTAAATGATTAAATTAAATTGTTATACTTTTCTTTACTTAAAAAAATAAACAATGTAAAGAAAGTACTTTATTATTTTTGGTTGACCCAATAAAGACTTGAAAATGCTCCTATTATTGTGACCTCAGCTGTATGTAATGACGATTTCGTAACAACAACAACATGTGCGTTCTGTTTATCAACAAATGGCAATGTGCGCAGTCGCTTCTTATTTATTTTGGACCGAGACAATCAAACCTGGGTGAAATTCGCTGTGCTCGTGTGGCGGGAGGAACCCAGACCAGTATCCGAATCCGCGTCGTCCTATAAAATCGTAATTTTGGCATTATAATTAGTATAAAGCCCACGTATTGGTTTTTGGGGGATCTGCTTACGTCACTCTCGATGTCTATGTCTCGGTCGTCGTCACTCATACTCATGATGATGCACGTGTATTTCCGGTTTCGCGCAAATAGTTAGTTTTTTAAAGAAGATACCGAAAGGACTGCTAATGTTTGTTTTTATTCCACTTTAAATTTTTTTATTTTGTTGTTGTCTGCTCACGTTATTTTACAATCGACTCAATCGAATACAATTAAGACACTGAGAATAGCGAATGGGACTACTATCGATAATTCCCAGAGCGATAGTCGAATATGTTACAGTAGTAGAAGCCCGCCATTGTTTTCATTTTAAAATTTGTTTCTTTTCCGGTAGAAGTCTCCGTTTAGATTTTCTTCAAGACATGAAACGCTTTTCAATTGAATAACAAAATAGATATTGTCTGAGCAGGTTTTTGTTACTATAGTGAAAGGATATGCCTTCAATTGTTTTGAGTTATATCAATTAAATTTTGTTATCTCAACATTTTAGTCGAGGAACACTCCGAAAGATTAAAAGTGTTATTATTTCAGCTCAGCAGAAGACAACAAATATTTTGTGATAGCATTTCTATGTGAAATGTGTACTAGAAAGCAACAAAATCAGAAAATACATGTTAAGAAAAATTCTAGGCATTAAATCCAACGTAGTCTATTATGACAAACCAGCTAACTGAATATCGTGAAAATGTGGAATCAAGTACTAAAATGTTGCCTAAAAATTAGAATGGCTTACTACTTGGACTTGAACTTTTTTGGAAATAGACCCTTTGCTTATCCAAATGAAGTGGAATTTGAATACCCCAAATGTTCCTACGGATTTCAAACGGTATCAGTAAAAACCAGTGTGACCGCAGGACACAACGTGCGAAATGCCAGTAGCCGAATCAGCACGACTTGCAAAGAAGTTCCCCCAATACTTCCGACTTTTTGACAATTAATTCTAGACTATTTGATGGCTTTTCCCACCACAAGTGCCCAGCAAGCAGAGACGAACCGCAAGATACTCGAGGAGATCCAGACGAAGAAGCAGTTGCTCGCGGGCGGGATCATAAACCTGGGGCTGAGCACCACGAGTCAGGTGAGCATATGGGATGCGGAATGTGGTTAGTCCATTATTATTATTTTTATTATTATTTTCCCCAGATGCCCACCACCCAGCTACTGGGCCAGCCAACGACACCGACTCCCGACTTCCAGGCGGGCGTGGGCATTGCCTCCAATGCCACATCGACCACCCGCTCTGCATTTAATCCAACGAGCTCTACGACTCTGGGCTTCTTTGTACCTCAGGATTCGTATTTTGGAAACAGCTTTATACCCGTGCTGCCTCGTCTGGAGCCGCTGCCGTCGCCCGCGACCACGCCCACCACTCCGAACGCCCCTGCCGGCCTTAATATCAGCAAGTAGTCCAAGCCACCATGGCCCGGATGAAGCTGCGGAAGCTGGAGGAGTACCTCCAAGGCGTTGATGGCTTCGAGCAGCCCAAGATCTTGCTGGAACAATACCCCACGCCCCCGCACATAGCCGCCTGCATGGCCCATCACATGCAGGCGCAGCACGAGGACATCGAGGGAAGACTGGTGGGAGATCTGGGCTGTGGCTGCGGAATGCTCAGCATTGCATCCACCCTCCTGGGCGCCCAGCTCACGGTGGGCTTTGAACTGGACGGCGATGCGGTGGACACGTTTAGGAGCAATGTCGTGGAGATGGAGCTGCCCAATGTCGACTGTGTGCGGGCGGACGTCCTGCAGTTGGCGGGCAGCAAGTGGGAGAAGTCCTTCGACACGGTTGTGATGAACCCTCCGTTCGGGACAAAACACAATGCTGGCATGGACATGCGATTCCTGGAGGTGGCGCTGCGGTTGGCCAACAGCTCAGTTTACTCCCTGCACAAGACGTCAACACGGTGAGACTCTTCACTATTTTTCCTTGCTTTTCTATTTATATTTGGAAAATATTTAAGAAATTATGGAGTGACCGGACCTTTTCCAATTATTTTGATTTATTCGATAGCACATTTGGCCAACATATCCAATTTATCTTAAAATGAACTGTCAAGACTTTTATATTGTTTGATTTAGTTGTTAAAACGCGGATTCTTTTATTTAATATTGATAAATCCTCTTGAGGTTTCAACCGAAGATAAATTTGGGTTCATCTTGGTCATGGTAGTACAATCTATGTTAACTAAGAACTAATTAAGTTATCTTAACCGATTTAAAATTTGACGATTTCTTTATAATATTACACTTCCTCGATACCGCTTCCTTTTATATTTAAAAATGCAGTACTTTTAAGCCAAATGTGAAATGCAAAAATTCCTATAATTTCATTTCAAAAATAGAATTATATGTTTTCTTTTACTCCCTGATATATGTATCTTCATTGTACAATATATCTTTTTACTTTACGAGTAACGGGTACAAACAGATGCGTGATCTTTTGTTCTTGGCAAACAACAGAAACAATTGCTGCCGCTTTTTGATAAGTGGTGTTCCTTACCGCTGCTTGTACTTCTGTTATTTTGATCGATTTAAAAGCAGCAACTATAAAACGCGGCAGCAACGTCAGTAAAGGTAAAGACAGCAACTTGAACACAGAAGCAAGATGGTTCTTTCTCGTTGCCTGCTGATCCTGGCTGCACTACTGCTAACGTCCTTATCCGTCCAAGCGCAGATCCTGCCCCGTGGGCATTGCCGCCCCACCTTAATCAGAGTGCAAGTGGGTGGGTCTGTCTGCATGCGCATCTGCTACCACCGGGACTACCGCGGACCGCCGGTCCTCTGCCGTCGCGTCGCCAAAGAGGGAGTGGTGCCCGTCTGCGGCAACGGTTGTTGCCTCAGCGGTCCCAACTGCATGCAGCAGTTCTACACCTAAAGTCGGCTGTAAACGATGCAAGAAAAGCATTGAAAGAAAAGCATTTGAGGAACAAGCACTTCACAATCTTTAAGTAAATGAGATAAGATAAAATTAAGTTGCACTGCTACTAAACATTGTATGCAACAGTCAGGATATTATGATTGTACGTCGGATTATATGTAAAGTCATTTTTCTATCATCCAAATTCTAGCGATATTTAAATAAACATATAAATTTTTCTTCCAATCATAATTATTTCTGTAGCTTCTATTATAGTTTTGTTACAAAAATGTCTGTTCAATCAAGGATCGTTAGTAATCAGATGTTGAGAAAATTATTTCTAAGAATTAAAAAGTATTTATATTATGGATGAACATTGATCCGCCATTCTTGACTATCTGCCTCTATACAAACTAGTTTGCTAGCTGACTAGAATGTCATATAACTATTATAAAAATGACTAAAAAATTGATCAAATTTATTTATATTACTGCTTAATTAACAAGTATCCATGACTGTTAACGAATAAATTTGGTCATGTACATATATGTATAACTCATTCAGCAAACGCAGTTTTCAAAAGCACACCTAACACTTGAACAAAGACTATGAAATTGATAATTATCTCTCCTCCTTATTTTTTTGCAGGTCCTACATACAGAAAAAGGCGCAGGAATGGGGTGCGCGCGGCTCTGTGGTCGCCGAACTACGCTACAACATCGACGCAAGCTACAAGTTCCACAAACACAAGTCCAAAGATATCGAGGTGGACTTCTGGCGCTTCGACATCAGCAAGGAATAGAAATAATTAACTCGGTTGCATTTAATTTCGGACATCATTTATGTATTTTAAATTTAGCAAATAGGAAGACATTAAATTGATCATATCTGTTTCTACTCCACATTGAAGACAACGCCCTGGGCGCAAGCCAGTTCGCCGGAGTGATTGACTGTGATGGTGGCCCGTTTGCAATACTGCTTCCAGGCATCCGATCCGGATTCGCGACCACCTCCAGTGGCCTTTTCTCCTCCGAAAGCACCTCCAATCTCGGCACCATTGGTGGTGGTGTTGATGTTGACGATGCCACAATCGGAACCTTTAACTCCAATCCACTTAAAGGCCTGGCCAATGTTCTCGGTGAAAATGGCGGACGATAAGCCCTGCTCCACTTCGTTATTCCATTCGATGGCCTGGTCCACGTTCTTGGCTTTGAGGATGTACACGATTGGGGCAAAGGTTTCCCGATGGACAACGTTGGCATCGTGGGGCAATCCGGTGATTACCGTGGGTTCCACGTAAAAACCTTCCCGCTCGATTACCGTGCCGCCGAAGGCTACGGTTCCACCCAAGCACTTGGCCTCCTCGATGGCCGTTTTGTAGTTCTCCACGTTTTGTTGCGTGTGGACGGGACCCACCAGAGTTTGAGCGTCAAGCTGGTGTCCAATCTTGGGTATTAGCTGCTTATACTTACCAACCAGCGCCTTAACAAACTGATCATGCAGCTTTTCGTGAACAATAATTCTCCTGGTTGTGGTGCACCTCTGACCACTAGTGCCAATGCAACCGAAGAGAGCAGCGTCCAGGGCCATTTTCACGTTCGCAGATTCATCGATGATCAAGGCATTGTTACCACCCAATTCGAGGATGACTTTACCGAATCTGCGCTGGACTTCTACGCCCACATCGCGACCAGTTTGACAGCTGCCGGTGAAGGACACGAGGTTTACTCTTTTGTCAGCCACCAGGGTCTGTCCCACATCGGTGCCTCCCTGGCAAAGGGTCACTACTGGCGGAAGGTTGTTCCTGCGCAACACATCAGCCACAATTTTGGTAGTGGCCACCGAGACCAAGGGCGTGCTGGGAGCGCCTTTCCACAGTACACTGTTGCCAGTGGTCAGAGCAATCGCAGCGTTCCAGCCGAAAACAGCGTTGGGAAAGTTGTAGGCCGAAATAACGCCCACCACTCCCAGAGGACGCCAGGCCTCTAGAATCGAGTGATCGGCTCGCTCTGAGTTGATCAGCTGACCGGAATAGATCCTGGAGAGGCCAACCGCATAGTCGCAGATATCGATGAACTCCTGCACTTCTCCCTGGCCCTCGCTGTAGATTTTTCCCACTTCGAGGGACACAAGTTTTCCCAGCGGTTCCTTGTACTTCCTCAGTTCATCACCGATCTGGCGTACTATTTCACCTCGAACAGGAGCTGGAACCTGTCGCCACTGCTTGTAGGCCTCCACTGCCAGCCCGATGGTCTGCTCGAGTTCCTGCACATTTCCCTGACGCACTGTGGCTATGGGTCGGCCAGTTCCGGGGTCGTAGCTGGTGATGGACGAACCATTACCCTGCCATTGACCTGAATAAACTCCTGGATTATCGCGTTCTAGGCCCAATTCCTTCAGGAAACTGTATTCCGGCCGGTCGATCAGGAACGAGGAGGTCGATGAGTAGCTGGCGGACTGGGTGACCAGTCGGCGTGGCAACGCCAGCCTCGAAAGATTTCTCAGGTGTGCCAACATACTGGATAAAAATATTAATACCTGTTATTTAATATTAAATAATACAATTTGTTTATGATCAGTATCATTTGTTATCAGTCATGGAAAGGCTTACATAAAATGGTAGAAACCAAAAATATACTCCATCGTTAATTATAATTTAATTTACAAACGGGTATATAAATAGAATAGAATCATTCACAAATTGCTTATATATATTGCTTCATTTGATCAACAAACTTAAACATTGGGTTTTAGGATACAAGGTTTCATTTCTGGCAGAGGAAAACGAGAGGAGATTTATGGATTACTGATTACGACCTGATACTATTCTTATCGAGCGATAACAGCTCCGACTGTTTTTGGTTGCTGGCTGGAAATTTTTGTCTAGATCCCCAGCAGAGCGGACCCACTGATAGCATCTCTATAAAGGCGGTACTCACTTGGTAGGTGTCCGGATTAAAACAGCGACTGCCCGGGTCGCCAGTCAATTATCAACTGAGGGCAGATTTGAATGCTGAACCAGCGGGACGGATCCGCTTTTGTGGGCAGCTTATCGCAGGCGCAAATGGAATTAATGCAAAGAGAGAGGGTGGGGAGCTAGGTTGCCGTCTTATCAATAAAATGAAAATAATTGAGAGGTTGAGTGCAACGTGCACACAAAAATAAAGCATACTTTCAGATGGAAAGTAAAACTCAATATTAAATTTTTTTAAAGAGATATGAGTTTCTTATCTTGAACAGAAGTAAAAAAATATTTTTTAAAAGCATGCAGATTTTTCTGGGTAAATTATTGTGCTCAGACTATATAGCAAAAAAAATTATTATTGTAAATTTCTATAAATCTAATTTAAACTAGCCTCTTAAAATCTATCGCTGCCCATTTTCGATTTATAAGGTTTCTATTAAAACACGAGTACTGCTTCTGTTACCCTGACAACTGGTGAACTAAATAAACTGTTTTTTCGTTAGCATATGCTAAGCAGATTGTTTGAAGTAACTTATAAAGTTTATAAAATACTTAATTATGGAGGTGCTCGAAGAGGGAAATTTAATGGACAGAGTGCCTATTTTACTACAGCGCGATCTAGAGTTTTACCAGGTAAGAACCAATGATGTTGCCTTGGTCGACCATTACATAACTCCTCTCCAATAACCAGACACATCAACGGGTGCTTCAGGAACCAATTTGCTCAGGAGTTGTGGGTGGAAAACTGGATTTTCCACGTTACGCTTCCTTTGCAGCCATTAAATTAATAAGATGGTAGGTATTTATACCCTACTCGTAGAATAAAAGGGTATACTAGATTCGTCGGAAAGTACCAGTAACAGGTATAAGAAAGCGTTTCCGATCCCATAAGGTATATATATTTCTGCTCAGGATCACTAGTGGACTCCTTTTGCTCCCTTTACCTGTGTAACGGGTATCTGGTAGTCGAGGCACTCGACTATAGAGTCCTCCATGTTTGAAATTTTTTTGTTTATAATTATTGCCTATTAATTATAAACCAAATTAGATTTTTAGGAAATTTGCATTTTTTGCGAAGATAATATCTGTTTAAATTAAATACATGTTTTTTAATACACAGGTTATGTAATCTTAAGAATGCAAATCAACATTGAATGTTTTTCCCTATGCAATAGGGTATATTTTACTGTTTCAATTCCGTTTTGTATTAAATCGAAGTACTGGAAGGTTACTAGTCATGGGCGGCTCATCAATACCATCATTGGTATTTTGAGAGTTCACCACCATACCGATCCATTGGTAAAGGCTCACCACGTCGGTGTAAACTCCCGAGATTGAGCAATTTGTCTCGATTAAGTTTGCGATTCCAAACTGAACGGTCCGGTTTGGTCCAATGTAGTTTATTTGGTGGGTTAGGGCAGAACCGGAGGGTTCTTCGCAGGACTCAAGATCCTTCTTACCGGCACAAAACTGGCCTTTGTCAAGACTTCCGCAAGCCTGGGGCATCCGGTCCACAGTCTTGGAGCTTAGCTTCCTGTCCCTGTACATCCATTCTGTTTCAGTGAAGTAATCCAATCCAGTACAGTGCTCGGATCGAATATTAAAAGTAATTCGAAAGAAAATTATTTATTTAATATATATCTTCTACAAGTTAATATTTAATTATTTAATCACAAAATTGAAAATTTTCTTAGGTGGGAAGATGAGTATTTTGCCTCTTACCGAAAGCCCTCGGGTCTGTTGCATACCGAAAAGGAAATGAATGAAGGAGATTTTGTAAGATGTTATTATCACATAATTTTAAATAGTGTTATAACAAAAGCTCTTTCTACCCTAGTCTAGTGTCACCGTGAAGACCTCCGATCCGGATAAGTTTGTGCAGCTAGTGACCAAATCCGCTGACTTACTTCTGGAGCACATTCATCGGCTCTCACAGGAGTCCCTGGATCATGCCGACTTATCTGTGCTCACTGCCACAATTGGAGCTGCATCACTGGTTAAGAACTCCCTGAGTGTTTATATGCAAGCGGCCACCACAACTATATGTCCCCCCAAAGGCGATGAAAAGGGAGGAGCTCTGAAGCTCAGTTTTAAGCAGTATTCGCAGATGTCAGAGGCTTTG